GGTGCAGAGTGAGACTCACAACAACAGGAAGTGTGCGCAGGCAGAATGAGATGACTAAACTGTCTGCACAAGAATAGTGTATGGGTGTAAAGGTCTGATTGTCTTGGCTTCAGATCATCAACATTTATCAACATATGAAATTCTAGGATCAATATTGTAATCTGCATTAGCAAATATATTTACAGCTGCTGTCATCATCAGGATCGTGCTCCGATACAACCCGTCGCTGTTTCTCTGCCATGGGCGGGCAAGCAAGCACAAAAGGGGCAAGCAGCCAAGGGAGGAGTGTGCTAGCTCGCCGTGGTCTGTACAGAGATGGATTTCACAGTGCGGGTGTGGGTTCAAAGTTCTCTGATCTTTAGACATCTCAGGAATGGCTCTTGTAGAATGGTGAAGAAAAACAGGGAGCTGATCTCTGGTCACATTGGCATTTATGTCACCACAGCAGACCTGAGTGGGCACAGCCTACTAGTTCTCTTTAGTTGATAAAAGTTCACCTATTTTAACCAGCTATTTGCTAACTCTGCCTAAATTAAAAACCTTTAATAAGGCTGACTCTGTACTATGCATGCATTTAAAACCAGACTGAAAAACCTCCAATAAATTTTTGTCATCTAAAAAGGATGCTGAGGGATACTGTTTTAGACAAGTCACCACACTGAATTCATTTTATAAATACAAAAACAGAAATTAACAGAGTTGGCAAAATGTCAAAAGTACATTATATTTTACATCACAATTTATTATTTCTACTCACTTTTTACCCGTAGAGTGATGCTCACGTCCTGCATCTGCCCCCCACTGAATGTACCAGAGCATGTCAGTGTCTTTCCATGGTCGTTAGCTGATGCAGTGAAATTCAGGGTGGAGACAGTCGTCCACTGAGCAGCTGCTCTGCTGGTATCAGTGGATGCTGGCATGCTCTCATAGTTCCATTTGAGGGTTGGATGATGTATAGGGCACGTGTATGAGGCAATGCAGGTTACTTTGCTTGAGTGTCCCTCAAGAAATTCATCTGATGTAGGGCTGATAGTCAAGGGTGAATAGGAACCTGAAACACAAATGGTAAACGTGAACATTTTAGGTCACCATAAAGAAAAAAGGTTTTACTCCTGTATATCAATCACCTACATTCCGCATTTAAGGTTTCAGAGGTACTTGCAGTTTGACCACTATGGTGTTGGACGGAACACGTCACAGTTTGGTGTTCTTTCATTATGGGCAACGTGGCCATTAAGGTAGTTTTGTATGTGCCATCAGACATGGGGCGATGGTTTACACCAGGGCTTTGCACTGGGAAATCGAATGTCAGAGTGGGTGGATAAGTGGGACAGGTGTGGTAAACAGTGCATTCCACTAGTACAGACTGTCCAACCTTCTTTTCTCCAGGGAATATAATAGTTGGCTTCTCTGCAGTGTCTTTACAACAAAAATGTGAAGAGTTATCGATATGAATAAATACACATCTATTTAAAAATAAACTTTTTATAAGCTCAACCTGATAACTCACTTGTAACTTCAATTGTTACAGTTGTATCAAAGAATCGGTAGGTGGATTTGCCAACATTCTCTGGATCTACCCAGGGGTAAATCTTCTGTCTGTGGTGTGCCCAAGTCACTGGGTAGATCTGTAGACTGCATGTCTTCCCAGATGCAGAGAAGATTTTTGTTTTTCCTTTAAATTCATCAATGACGTATTTTGGGTGCCAGTCATCATAGACCAAAGGATATGTATGTTTGGCATACTGGTACCACACCACACGATCTGGTCTGCGAGGTGGATACTGATAGTAGTCAAATT